GATTGGACGGGCGGGGGGAAAAAAACCAGCCAAACCCCCCCGGAGGGAAAAAAGAAAAAAAAGGGGGGGGGGGGAAACTGCAGATTAAACTGAAACACTGATGATTACATCCCGACACATTTATCTTTCTTGATTTCATGAAAATGCACCAGCGCCGATGGAGGATTTGATGCGCTCTAACCCCCACACATCTTACATCACATGACAAATTAGGACTAACAGATTAGAAGTTTTGTGTGTGTGCCTGTGTGTGCGTGTGTGTGTGCTTTGAACTAAAAGGACTTATCAGTACCGGTGCTGCACACATTTACTGGAATGCACGCTCAGCGCCCACTAAACCAATTTGTTAGATGATATTTGCCATGTGTTTTTGTGTGTTTTCTGGTTGTGTGTGGCAGAGTGTTTGTCCTCCAGGTGTAACCCAGTTACTAATTGAGGAGCTCTTTGTTTACACCTGCAGAACTGGAGCACCCTCCAGATATCTTAAACTAATCAATTAGCAAGATAGTAAAAGAAGGCACTGCCAGCATGGCCCTTAGCTTTTTACTAACAAATAACATCATGAAGAGCAAAAAAGAACAAGATATTTCCCAGGCTTCGTGAGTTCCACAGAATAGTTTATTTAATCACGACTCAAATGGTAAGGATGTTGGCTGAGTTGGTAGGGCGGTCTATGCCGTAATGTTTCAACAACTATCAGACTGACGGCCTTCACATTCAGTAGCAATGCCCCTGTTTTAAGTTGGTGAATTTATCTGATTTTAGAAAATGCTTATCTTTTCCTCTACTGCCACCATGAGGTATTGTCGAAGTCTTTTGCGCACAGAGGATGTCTTCTAATGATTTTGGTGATCCTGCCCTGACATTTCCTCTAGCCAGCATGAAGTTGACATTTGTGGGTTTGCATGAAACAACTACCAGGGTGGCACAATTAATATGCATTAACAAATGCCTGACTTTTTTTTTTTTTTTTTAAGGCGCCGACACTAATGAGAAAAAGGTTGAGTTCAGTCATGATTACTTATTATATTTATGTACATAATCACAGAGCTCACGCTGAGTGCCAAATCCCTCCCACATTAGAGGAAATAGATTCAGCACTCGCAACATGTGTACTATTTCTGTGACAGCAGTTGGATCTGAATGCGACTGAAGCATTCTGACTGTGTGAGTCGTTCTTTCAACAAATTCACAGGTCATTAAACCCAATTATTTATGCACACTTAAAGACTGATCTGATGAAAATGCCTTTAAGTATTTTGTGTCTTTTGAACTTTTTCATTTAACGTGACATTCACAATATTCCATGTGTTTGAAAGGGATTTTATATTGTATAGATAAACGCAAAGGAGCACATATGTGTTAAGAGGGATGGGGTTAAGGCAATACACGATTTTAATAATCAGAAATATGTCACTGAGTGTGTGAGACAACACTTTGTAGAACCATTCGTCTGTGCAAATACAACTGTAAGTGTTTTTTTTTTTTTTTTTTTTTATATCTAAATACTGACATTTTTGTGTGGATTAGATGGGAAGCATCTGTGAAGATACAATTTAAATTCTTCTGAAATTCTCAAGTAGATTTAGATCTGGGACACTCTTTGATGTAATCCAATCCAATGTTGCTCTGATAACAAGCTTAGGGTTATTGTCCTGTTGGGAGGTGAAATTTCAGTCTCAATTATTTTAAGCATTTCCATGCGTTTTGCCTAATCTATCTTCCTAACAACTCTCACCATCTTCCCTGTCTATGCTGACAAGAAAACATCCCGGAAACACGGCGAAGATACCACATCTGTGTTAACTGAATGTGTGTAGCATTTGTTTTCAATATTGGCCAAAGAGTTCAAATGTTGCCTAACCTGATAGAGCACCTTCTTCCAAGTTTTGCCTGTGTCCTACAGTGTGGGTTTAAGCTTTAAACAAGACTTCTTGTGGCTCGCTTTCAACAATGTAACTCCCTTTGTCGAATTTCCACGGAGGCCAAGTACCAGAATAATAGTTATTGACAAATTTTTCTGACAGGGCTGTAGATTTCTGCAGGTCTACCAGAGTTATCATGAACAATCCTCAGTGAAATGTTCAAAGCTAGAGATATTATGCTATAAGTGAACAATGTTTTAAACGTCTCCACTTCTTTATCCCTGACCTGTCTGGTGTCTAATCATGCTGTGTGTTCACACACGTTCAAACCTCTGAGGCCTTCTCATAACAGTTCTGCTGATGGTTGCACTGGATGTCAATTCCTAATATCACAGACAGCCTGAATACATATATAAATCACACACATTTGGTAAAGCAGCAAATGTGGCTCTACTTTATGTTGGTCAATGACATACAAACAATCTCCGTAGAATTTACAAACAAAAAGAAAACACCCTGAACACTTCTTTACCTGTAAGTACATTATTAACATCTAACCCAAGGAAACAAAGCGGAAGACAGAGGAATCATTTGTTGTCATCAAACAACCACCAGACATGCTGATGGAAGGGAAGATGGAAAAGGTCAGGTTCTTTGCTTATTATGCCACAGAAATCTATTTAACCACCTCTGTCTATTCGCAGTGGACAGTAAGTTGTTGTCTGTCAAATTTAATTTTAAGGCAGTGAGATGCTGCCACGGCGTGCAGGTCGAAGCAATTTCCTGAGCAATAAATCTCATATAACATACCACAGAGCATTTAAAAGCTCTCCATCAGCTAATAACAATGCCGTTTGCCATTCCAGACTCTTGTTTAAGTTGCTACTTGCAGCTCTCCACCACCTTGCTAGCACATCAACATCAATCATTCCCATCTGATGCCTTGTTACTGTTTGCCCATTAAAAGCAGACAGCGCAGTCAATGAAATCCATCTGCAGGAGAGGTCATGTCTGCACAATTATGGCATATGCTCTGTGGGCCCACACAGAGTCTCTCCACGGTGTCAGCACTTTTACGAGCGGTCTGCGAAGATTGTCAGAGTTGGCCTTTGGGCTAATCTTTGTAGTCAACTTTTCTATCAGGGAATCATTATGACAGAGCAGCTAAAATGTCAAATTAACACAAAAGGAAAAGAGGGAATTTGCACTAATTCAAATAGCTGTCAGGTTGGAAGTGACTGGGCAGATTTAAAATAACTAGCTCCTGGCAAGGATGTTAACTAGGTAAATGCAACATCGGTTTACCAGCAAGACATGTGTAAAAACCTAAAATACTTGCTATTGTAGCTAAATGGCACATATCTGCCAGGTGGTCCTAATTAAATGTGATGAAATCACAAAAAAAAATAAATAAATAAATAAATCAGCAAGCGCCAGCACTTCTACAACATAAAACTTTTGGCAGTGTTGGTCTTGAGCATTCAAGTGTCCAGCAACACGATGCCAAGAAATGAAGACTAGTCAAAATCTTATTTATTAAAGCAATAGTTTGCTACTTTACTTACAGTCTTTTAAGGTTTAAAAATTACAACTAGTGTAAGTCCATATCGCTCTCTGATATGATTAACCCACAAAATGAAAATGAAAACATAGAAGTTCTTTATGTTGTGATCTGTGTTTTTTGTGTATTTATTTTGAGGTTTTTCTGTGTTTATTAGCCTGTTCCCCTGTGAGTCTCTGTCTTCCCTGTTGATTGTTCCCAGCTGTGTCTCGTTTCTTTGATTATCCTCCCAGTGTATTTAGTCCCACCTGTTGTCTTTGTCTCTTGTCAGATCCTCGTCGTGTGTACCAGCCAGTTTCCCTGTGCCGTCGTGTTACGTCGTGCTCCCTGTTGTCCTGTTCCTTGGATTATTGTGATTAAATTATCATCACTTCAACCTGGGTCTGCCTGCGTCCTCCCTCACCACCTCACACCATGACACTTTACATTCAATCCATTGTCAAATGTTGTCAATATGGCTGTACATATAAAAAAAAAAATGTAAAAAAAGTAAGATTTTATGACTCATTTCAGAAATTCTTATATTTCTGAAACTCATTGCACAGAGTGAAGTATTTCAAGCCTGCATTTCTGGTAATTTTTTTTGTAATTTTGCCAGTCATGGCATACAGATTATGAAATCCCCAAAATTGTCTCCTTGCATCTAGTTGATAAAAAATATATATTTTAAACAGAACTGTCAAGATTCTCAAAGTATATTCACTGCTATGCAATCTTCACGTTGTTAGGATTCATTTTGCATGAATTACTGCATCAACGTGGCATGACATGGAGGCGATCAGCCTCTGGTTCTACTTCAGTGTAACGGAAGCACAGATTGAAAACAGTGGGCAAAAGGCAGCATTTGACATAGCTCCAGAAATCCTTTGTGAGCGTTGAAACTTTACACTGGACTTTATACAACTTGGATTCTGTGCTTTTCCACTCTTCATCCAGACTCTGAGACCTTGATTTCTGAATGAAGAGCAAACTACTTTGACGTGAAAAGAGAAATTTGCACCACTGAGCAACAATCCAATTATTTTTTCTTCTTCTTTGCCTAGGTAAGACCTTTCTCGCATCGTCTGCGGCACAGGAGTGCACCTTTTCTCAACACTTTTATCAATTAATTTACATTCATCTGGAAACGGGACTCTGTACCATTACAGACATGACATTTCAAAGAAGAATAGAGCTCCTCCGCCCAGAACTCGTCTTCCCTGAGGAGCTCTTTTTCCCCTAAACTTAGACAGAACATGTTTTGTAGCGCATACAGCATTCTCCTGTATGTGGTGGCTCTCGAAGCACCTACTACAACCTCAGTACATGTGTTGTGAAGTTCCCCCAAGTAAGGAATACTTTACACATTCAAGTCTACATTAGTGCTTTTCATTTCAAACAACTAAAGCATAAAATCACGTGCTTGGAAAGGTGAGAATGAAAAGAGGCACCGTGTTTCTACTTCAGCCCAAACATATGTGACGTCAGCAGCACATTATTAAAGACCTGTGAATTGTGCAATCTATATAATGATAATTTCCCAGAGATAGCACTAACCCTGTCAAAGTTTAAAGTGTCAATTTTAGAGGCTAAATATGTTCCTGTTTTCTTTATTTGTGGAATTCTAAGCTAAGGAGTAGAGGGTTTAAAATCAATGTAAAATCAGTGATATAATTCACACTATTGTGTGTGGATAGTCCCTCAAAAATTAAAATGATCAGGCAGGAAAAGGGTATTAAAAAACAAGCTGTACACTTTACAGGCCTTGAGGATTTTTTGAGAATGTGAAACTAAAGAAATCTTCAAGACAGTTGCAGTAATGTCTGGTTTTTATGGTTATTATGTCAGTACAATAGAAGGGTGAATTTTGATTCCCTGGGTTTTGCACAACCACTTCAAAATGCATCTATTGCAAATTCAAAATCTCTGCATGCTCTTTTGTAATGGCTGTTGACGTCAGTATCCAGGAGGGATTTAACTGTTTGAGCATCAAACAAAGAACAATGGAGTGTGACATTTTTGTTGCCCACCAGGGAAACATGCAGTAATAACAGGAAAGCATATATGCAAGCGTTTTATAGATTTGGCAATTCAGAAAATTAAAAATGGCATTAAGGAGATCAGACCAAAAAAAAAAAAAAAGCTAGAATATCAGATGTTTGTTGAGATTGTATTCTGTTGCCAAATCCTTGAGATTTTGTAAGATTATCACTTTATCTCATATCCCGTATCTGGTAGGATTATCGTATCTGTCAAAAAACATGCTAAGTACACAGCCTTCTTTGCTAATGTAATAGGAAATGTAATTTCTAGTATGCATATGAGAACTTAAAAGAAAGCAGTTGCATGTAGGAACAACCCACTGGTTACATGTTGAACCTCTGCCTACGTCCTGAGCTATTGTTGCCCCAACAATCTAATGTCATCGTTCTCTTGCATATGTAAGAGAACGATAACCTGAACCAATATAAAAATTTGTTTTCAAATGGAGACATCTTTTTTTTTCCTTTTGCTACCAGAAACCAAGATGGCCCTCAGGGAAAAAAGTAATTGTCCATTAATGTAATAAATGCTTCTGAATTTTGATTCAGAAGCATTTATTCTGAACTCTGGTGCCAGCAGCTGCCATGATGCATTTAAGGTAATTCGGAATAAGTCTCTTACATCGCTGTGAAGCAATATTGAACCACATTTCTTTGGAAAAGTATTTTATTTCATCCACAAATGAAGCCTATTTCAGGTCATTCCAATTGGCACATGTTTTCATGCTGCCATAGAGCTACCATTGGCATTTACACACATAAAATCAAGCATAACTACTTTCATTATTGATCTTTCATTTGATTATCAATAAGTGTCATTATGACAAAAAAAAAAAAAAGTTTACTACCAGTTACCTTTGTGCAGACAAACATTTGGTAGAACAATCAACCACAGTTTTATTCAGCTGGACTTGAGGTTAACTGCAGGGCTTGATCCATTTCTTGCATTTTCCAGATTCCGTTTGGGTTTTGGAAATGTAATAAATGGTATTTCGCCTTTTACACGCTCTGGGTACAGGTTATTGGAATTGCATGTTCCCCATTGACAATGTTCAACTATGATTTCCTATTAGTTTCCTCAAAATCTCTAAAATCACAATGTGTTAGCAATGATGAACCCTGGCTACGTTACCAGAGGTTCAGTTCCTCTAGATGAGTGGCGTTTATTTCGGGATAAATTGTGACCACTAATTTATCAGTTACTGACAAACCCTCTAGAATGATTGACAGGTGTTGCCATGTTAATTGTGTTACAATTCAGACTTTTAAAAAAAAAAAAAAAAAAAAAAAAAAACTTTTTTTTACCTATAAAAAAAAAAAACAATGAGAAAAAAAAAAATTT